GATTGCTATTTGAAATTTTTCCCCTGCCCCAAGAAAAAAAAACGACGACAAAAAAAAAAAAAAGATATTAATTACGGTGTTAAGTATAAACTTTCATTTAACTAAGTGCATAAATATATCAATATCCTCTCTCCAGGCGCTCATGGGTAAAATGTTGTTGGAGCCTCAACTGGATTTTGAAATAAGTACAAAGAAGCCCATGACGTGCACCAATGCATATTGTCTCTACGTAATTGACCCTCTTCAACTCTTACGTAATCATGGTGGATAACGCTAGTTTGTCGATTACCCCATATTTCTTTGTAAGACTGATGGTTGTCAGCCTAGTCCATATCATCTTTTCTTCTGCCATCAGTAACCTTCAAACCTGGCTCCATTGTCTCCATGTATATTCTTTGAATCTCACCAAATTGTCTCATAACATGGTCATATAAATGCCACTCAACACGTTGCCAACAAATCAATGGGACTCAAGCTTTTCATATATCTTGCCTCACGGTGCAAATTCCAGCCACTTGTGCTCTTATCTGTTGGTTGCAGGACTCTCATATTAACATAAAATGAAAAATTGAAATATGCAAGTCCTATATCCACAACGATGGAACATCAAAACATGTTATAATTAAAATTTAAAATGCACTAACATAGCTCTCAAGCAAACCATCAATATCATCCCTATCATTTTCTTACATTGGTTGCAAGCATTTCACAGACACGTTGCTCATTCCACTAATAAGTACACATTAATTAAATGAACATTTAATCTGTTAAATTTAAGAAACAATATATTAATGTGAAACATCCCAAATAACATAAATCAAACTATATTTAAACATAAATCAAGCCCAAAATAAACTTGAGTTAAAAATAAACCCACTCTTCTCGTCTAACTTAACAAAATATTTCGCTAAAATCGGATTCACTACCCCAAAAAAATGTGAATTACCTCAACTAGAGAATCGTTTAAAAGCCCTCGCATCAAGTTCGCAATTGGAGAAAATAAGAAAAATCTTCCATAATTTACTTCATGATTTCATTTTTTTCAGTAGTTGTTTCCAAAGATTTACACCAAAAAATAACAACAACAATAATAAATCTCAAACATTGCCCAACCTTTTTTTGGGTTAGTTGCTCCATACCTTGTACAAGCATTGTCATACATTTGAAACATCAACAACTTGCTAGACTGAAAGCTAGTCAAGCGGTCTGTTCTTCATCAACAATAACTCAATTGCAGAAATGAGTAATTTTTTGTCTGAGTTCTACATGATCTACACATGAAAGGAAGCGCATTCTCATGAAAGCACTATATTTGTTTACTCATTATACAAAAAGAAAAAAAAATCATTAGGTTTATGAAGTGATCAAACTTCCTCAGTTTACAAAAGTATATAAGATATGGAAATCATTGCTTTGCTCCAATACGCACAATACAAATGCTAAACAACAAGTATGAAAATGCAATTTTGGGTAAATTGTATCATTACAATCAAAATCTATCAAACAATTTGAAAGAAACAAGAAAAATAAATTCTCCTAGTGAAAAAGATGGACAGAGATCTAACACTGGGATGGTCTCGCCGGCGGAAAGGTAGCGCTGTTGGGGAGAAGATGTTTCACATTTAGAAAGATGAGCTTTTGCGAAGAGGGGTTTCACAAAGGAGATGATTCGCGATTAGAGCACAACGCGATTGATTATTATTTTTTACTTATAGAGGAATCGCTAGATAGGACAACGATTCTGTTGCATGTGGACAACAAATCACCACGTGGCGTGGCGATTTTGCCTACTTAACTAAAAAAATTTTAAACTAATCTATTTTAAATATAAAGTTTTTAAAAAATCATACTTTTAAAATTTCACGTTGTCGTGTATAGATAAGGTGACATGTTAAAGTTGAGGTTAAATATGTTGGACATGCAAATACAAAAGAATTGAGCGGTATGCGTGTAAATCTTCCTTTCATTTCATGCAAAAATTCAAGGCGGGTTTAGAAGTAGCTTGCCAAATATTGCTCTTCAGTATTGTGGTCAGTATTGTGATGATATTCATCACGATATCACTAATTCACACATACAATATTTTCATGTATTATTTCCTCTCTTTAAAGGGCCTCTTCTTAAAATGGCAAAAGATGGTTTTTTTAATACTTTGTTATTCATTTGGATGATATATTGACATATTATGACACACACCCTCCTCAATTATCTATATTAAATCATTTTTTTTTTGAAAAGACAAAATGTAAGCTTGCTCTTAAAAGTGCATGCTTGGAAGTTTATTGACCATCAAGAAATAAGTATCTTTTGAAAGATTCATCTAAAGCTTTTAATTAAAATCCTTGATATGATAAGCATTACATTTATTGATAATATATAAGAATTGGATGGTATGCACATAAATTCTCTTTGATAAGTTTCAAAATAATATAACTTTATTTGAGTTTATATTCTTTTTAGTAAGCTAACATTAATTGATAAGATTAATGTAATTTTAAATTAACATTGGGAAAATTTGGCTTTATATCCTATAAATAGTGTAAATTGAAGAATTATTCTTATGGAAATATGCCCACAATTACTTTCTGCTTAAAATGCTCTCTTTTTTTATCACAAACTATTTATTATATTATTTAAGACTAAAGCACATGAGCACAAATGCAATATTGACAAGAAATGTGTCAAATCATATCATGGTACGACTTAATAGTTTATAATTAATTGTCAGGAACTACGTTCAGATAGTATTAGTATTTAAATAATTGATTATAGATTTATAGTAATTTCAAATATATAAAAGAGTCACTAAGAAAAACGCACAATTACATATAAGGAAATTCATCATATAATAACAAAATAATCTGCAAATAAAACATCTTAATTCACACAACAATATATCACTATAAAAAAGAAAACAATGTAAAAAGAAATTACTGTCACATAATAACATGATACCTATCAGTTGTAGTTATACTGTGAACTAAGTCTCTTCTACTAGACATGACATCTTATATTTTTTTTCTTTTTAACAGTAAGTTTGACTTATTGAGTAATCATAATCTTAATATACATTAAATTCATATGCAAATGCTATGTATGGATGAAAAAAAGAAATTTTGTTCATTACTTTATAAGACTTTAAACTTTCAGGTTAAATTTATTCATTCACGTTCAAATTTGAGTATTTAAAATATAACCTCTTTAAGAGTCATATTAAGATTATCTTCATACCCAAAAAAATCCTAAAATTTGTACCCTAAAAAATTTGCACCCGAAGGTACACATTTACCATTTTATTTGTCGTGCACGGTTCATCATATCCCCCGACAGTACCAACTGAGGGTAATCCTGTATTATTTAAATCTTTACTTATGATTACATATAAATTTAAATTCCTTTTAAAATATACTTTTATATGTTAATTATTTTCCCCACATTTGTGAGGCATATATCAAACTTTCAAAAAAAAAAGCAAGACATAAATGAAATATCTATTTAAGCCAGTTAATAAGACATTTATTCATTTAATAAAACCTTAATTTAATACATCCAAAAAATAAATACTTGGCTTTGCCTTAAAAGACTGTTATAAATGCTTATATGGTCACTTCACTATCTCAACTATTAACTATATTAGTTAAAGTGTATAAAACTGAAGAATCCCATCCTAAAAGAAAGACTAAAATACTTCTAATGACGTTTAATTAAAATGGCCCATATAAATAAGTACACAATTCCTTAGCTTAAGAGATTTTATTGCTTCTTACACAAAACTCTTATTTCTTTCTAATTATTTTAATTGATTCAGCCTCTAAACTTTTACCTTTTAATGTCCAAGTTAAAATCATCATTAGCATTTAGTAAGTAAATCGAAATTTCAATTCAAGTAATTAACATTGTAAAATCCTAAATACTCATAAGGTTCGGTCTTTACAGCTCGCACACAAGCTCAATTTCGATCATGAGCCATCTCTCTTCTCCTTCGCT